CGCCCCTGTATTGATACTATAAATTCCAAGCTTACGAATGTTTCAAACTGAATCAATGTCACTCCTTAAACTTCAAATCTTAAGATATTAAATCATCAAATTTTTTACCAGGTCCTATTTTTTTAAATGGTTGTTGTTAGCCATGGTTTTTTTTTATTCATTCATTTTGTTTATAAACTCATTGCAGTAAAACATAACTGAATTGCAAGTAGATTTGCAAGATTAAAATTACCAAAGACAAAATATTATTAACAAACTAGCAAAAAAAAAAACCTTAAATGGGGAAAAAAAGAGAAAAGCTCACCCTGGAAAAAAGATAACAAAATCAACATCACGAGAACACGAAAAACACCAAAACGGGGGAAAAATTACACCGAAACATATAATTTGAAAACAGAAAAAAACACTATAAACATTTGCATTAGGAAAAAGAATTCACACCAAGACAAAACAACACAAAACAATACAAAGAGATAAAAAAAACAAAATCAGCATCACTATCCAAACATATAACTATTTCCCTGTTTGCTCTGCAGATACTATTCTGCTGAAGACGATTGAAGAAACTCAATCCAAACGTTGAGACATTTTCCACAAACAACATTTCTTTTCAAAACTATCTACGTGGTGTACCGCAAGCAATAATATAGTATTACTTCTTCCTGCACACATTTAAATAATATTTCATACTCGAATTCCTAAGTATTCTATCACAAGTTTCACCTCTATTTTGAAGCAGTGCATTATGGATAATTGTATTCAGATTTTTCGCAAATACAAGTAGAATATTTTCTCTTCTTTTAACTGGTTAAAACTGGTTAAATTGGTTAACCTTTTGGAACCATGTGTAGTTCATTTATATTTTTGAATGGAACCCCCATCCCCCTCGAGTCAGCTTTGTAAGAGTATGGGCTACTCTATTAAAATATAGTTTAATGAGTTTTAAGACAAAGATGGACGGTGGTAAACAATGTTGAAATTTGTCTTTAGATGAAATATACCCTTACGAAAGAAAATTTCTTGGTCTAGAATTAAAAAAAAAAAAATACAAATGAAGTCATAGTAGGGTTACCTACTTGGTCAAACATGATAAAACCAAATGTTCTTGAACAGAGATCATTTTTATTCATAACTATGCTTGATGGGCTACAAAATTTTATTGGATAAATTTTTAAAATTAGGTCACATCTAACAAACTTTTCTTCTAAATTTTGTTTCGCTTCTTACCATTCCTGGACTTCCCTTTTTTCCTGGGTCTCCTTTTTTTCCTTTTGGCCCTGGTGGTCCTAGTTGTCCACGCTTTCCCTGTGGTCCCATGGGGCCAGGTATAACCTAAAAAATGTAAATGTGTTGCCTTATCAACCTTATTAAAACAGTTTAAAACCAAAAAATAATACTGGAGCTAAATACTTACCAAATTAAATGCAGAAGTGGGTTTAAATAAGTGAATTATTAATTGTTTTCAAACATTCTGTAGGAACATTTTGTATATTGTCAAACCACTTCTCAGTTGTTAAAAATTTTAAAATAAACCATTCTTGTCTACAAAACCATTGTTGACAGTTGTCTCTCAAGCCTGTTGTGTGAATTATATGAAATCAGCAAGAGGAATTAACAAGACTTAGGGACAGATAGATATTATTCGAAAGTGTGTGCACATTATCCGATCCCAACTACAAATCAGATCTTGGGATTGACCTCTCTATCTGACAATTATACCAAGGCATGATACCAAAATTAGTTTAGTTAATATACAATGAATACCATGTTGGCTTCAATATTCATAAAAAATAAAATTGTAATAAACACTAAAAATCCTATTAAGTAATTCACACAGCAAGTTAAGCACAATTATGTTACCAATACCAAGTGGTGGTATATGTCACCTTTGAACATGACACTGATTATTTTATAATTTTACAAGATTTTCAACACCTTAAAAAGTTTAACTTATAATTTCCTATTTTCTCATAAGAGAGTTAATAAAAATACATTTTCAAATACAAATAATTGATGTGTAATAATAATATAAATACATATTTCCAGGGGTTCCAAAGAAGAACTAACTTCCAGGTAATTTGGTCAAATGAGCTTTCTTAAATTTTATTTCATTTTGCTGCACATGATGATACCCATCGGCATTGACTTCCGTAGGACATTTTATAAAAAAAAAATTTTTAAACTTGCAAATATTATTACGGAGGTGCGGGAGAAGGTCCCAATTTCTGGAAGACTGCCGCAACTTGCGGAAGACTTAGGACCCCTGTATTACTACATATAAAAAAATTGTAATAAAGTTTTCAAATTAACATTTTTTAACATGATGTAATACTTAAACATAAAGTTAAAATCACACCGGCCATTCTGTCTTCATATCCTCTATTATGTGGTACACTGTGTATTCATCATCATATTTTAACAGGTCTTGTACAAATGCATCTGTTAGACCAGGATAACCCTTCACACTCAGTACAAAATCCTGCAAAAACATAGTATAACATAGTTCATTTTTTTCATCTTACAAAATTATTTCATTTACTGCATATAACACCCATCTTTTAAGACACAGCTATTCAGGTAAATTAAACCCTATTAAAGGTAAATCATTCCATGAAATAAGGGGATGTGCATCTTTTGACAAATGGCCAACCCCTTTTTAGATGTGAAATTTAGAATAAATTCACTTTATACATACCAATTTCTGTCAATGGTGTTACCAGTGGAAGAGCCCTTCAACCCACCTAGATATGTCAGGACCCGGAAACACACCCTCCCCTCCCTCGCCACATCTTGCAACCCTCTTTCTTTTGTCGGGACAATCCAGGCATCGTAGTAAAAAATATACCTAAGGGTTATGTGTGGTCGACGATGAAAGTTAGTTAGGAAAGCATTAAGTTTATTTTTAACCTTTCTTGCGTTATTCGTTTTTTCATTAAGATAATATTGTGATTGGTTTTGTTGTATATTTTTGTTGTTATGTTATATTGTATTTTAAATCTGAATGAACTGAATAAATCTAAAATAATCTACTGCTAATCATTAGGAAGAGCCTAATTTTTAAATGAAATAGCTCTGAATTTTTAATTTTGTGGCGAATCATCTTCTATCTACTGTATAGACTTTTCATCCTATTGGTAAAACATCGACAATCAGTAATTTTAGACACTTTTAACATGTGCCATGTGGTATAAGCAGACAGCTTTTTAGCTTACGTAAATTTCTAGTAAGATTACAGATAGCTCCATATTAAACAAAAATGAATAACACTTGTTCATTAAATAGCGTTATCATTACTTGCATTTCAGTCCCCCAGCTGAAATACAAGGACAGCAGCGATGAGAATTGAAACGGAAACCAAGAGATCTACAATAGTTTAGGAAAACTGAACTAAGCTCTTTCATTCTTTTTATTACTTAAATGTACATTTTGTATAAAGATTATTTATTATACCTCATAAATTTCAAGCGGCAAACCGTTTGTATTCATTAGCCATTTAAATCTCTAAGAGTAAAATTACGCAGTTCATACGGTTCACATGTAAACAGGGGTTCTGCAGTAAATTTTGGGTAGTAACACATAGTTCGTAAGAACTTAATTGTTACAAATTATTTTAAAGGATGAGTTGATCAATTTTATATTAATTTAGAACTAATTTAGCATAATCAGATACTGTACCTAATACCACATTTTTGAAATTACAAATCTTGTGCACGCTTGTGAACTAGACCCTTTCAACAAGATTTGTTTTGACTTTGCAAGTGATAGCTCCACCCAAGTTAATCAGTAGACAATTGTAATGTATAGGATTAGGATGATTTCTATATAATACTACTAGTAAAACCTGAGTTCCAGCTTGGGAAGGTGCGGAAGTTTCTATGCAAGGTAAATTTTTTTTTTTTAATACTTATAAGTGATTAATTTGTGTAATTTACACACTAAGCACATCTTGTTTTTTTCACTTGCTTAGGGAGCCTCTCAAAATAAGTCAATGCGTATACCCATGGACCACAAGCAGTGATTAGACCTGTAATTACCTGTCGTTGGCGACGCATTAGGATTATTTCTTGGAATGTTCCATTTTGCTATAGACAGATGAGACAATCTTTTGCATCGTACCCGCTAACCGCTGTGCTGACGTACAGTACTGATAAGCCTAGTTACTTTGATGTTACTCTCATAAAGGATGGTGCCCATTTGGTTTTGATGGTGCACATTTTTTTCTTTGACAATATGGGAACTTTTCTAAACTGGTTTCTAAACCAGTTGCATGACATAATTCACTCATATTCGTCTTGACTTAAGAACTTTGGACAAAATTGGTTGCCAGCCAAAAAGGTCAATCTCAACGTCTTTGTACGCCGCCAATACGAATTTACCGCGGAGCAAGGACAAACAGAAGTAGGTCATAAGATGCCAAGTGCAGGTGAAGGATTGTTAGATTATGTTTATAAAAATAATAAAGTACAGTTTTATCTGCTTTTCTTATTTATGTTAACCCTTTTAATTTAGACAGGAATGTTCATCATTCTCTTTCGTTGGTATGGCGATCAATGATATGCTGTTTATTGATTCAGTTATGAGCTATCCATTCGAGTATCGCAGCTAGTCACAATGTGGAAATTGAAGATATTTTAAATAGCTAGTTCCATTAACTACAATCATGCAGGTATAACATCCATGCTTCTACCAGCCTCGTGCACAGGGTGGATCCAGAGAATATTCCGGGGGAATGTGATGTACGAAGTGCTGAGCTAGGTTGGGGTGGTGTTTGCATAGACACAGCGAGGAGTGTACATTTAATTCGAAAATTACCCTAGTTTAGAGTACAGTGCTCTCCTAGTTTTTTTTTTTTGTTTTTTTTTTTGTTTTTTTTGTTTGTTTTTTTTGTTTGTTTTTTGTATGTACTCTTCCTCTTTTTATAAGGGGTCCGTAGACCACACCTGGTGCATATAAACTAAAAGGGGCGCATACAAAATATAATTATTTCTCTTACTGTAATTATAAACTATCATTTCACCATTTTGTCAGTGAATGAGGCTGCTGTTAGCGAAAATTTGTCGACAGAACGTCTATAGGTCAAAATTACCTTAATGATTTTATAATTTCAAAAATTACAATTATATATATTGTAGGCAAATTGGCTGTCAGCAAAGTGAATGTTCGCGAATTGGATGTCGGGGTCCTTTATCAGTTATTTATTTATTATAACAAAACTTTACATTATCAGTTTCTGCAAGGTGTGTCTATTGTGTTTGTGCATTTGTTTGTTTTTCTTGTTTGATGTTTGAGGATGCTCAAATGTGTATAGGACCCTTGGTCCTTCATTGCATCGCAATCTTGTTTTTGATAAAATATATTATCATTATATCATTTTTAATTATGTGAATGACATTAAATTTAAAAAACAACTATAGTGTATTTTTGACTTACTTTCTTTAAATCCTCATCAATTTTTGTTATAACCAAGGTCTTATCATCTTTGTCTTCTCTATCTTTATCATCCTTTTCAATTTTTGGATCACCTATTTTTTCATTAACATCAATTTTAATTTCATTTTCTTTTGTTGGCGGTGGTAAATATTTATTACTGTTTTGTTTAGTTCTAGCTTTTGTTGGTAAAACAGTTGGCAAAGAAGGTTGTATATCAACTGTAACACCTTTGTTTCCTTGTGTGTTAGTGTGCAAGGTTAGCAGTGATGATGCATCTGTTGTTAAGGTAAATTCTGTGACTTCCGACAATTCTGTGCTCACTGTAGGTAAATTACCAGTAGGATGTCCAGTTTCTATTGCAACTGTAGAGTTTATATTATTGGGAGTTACACCTGTAATATCATTTTTAATAGTTGTTCCTCCAGTAAATGCATCACCCACAGCTTTAGTACCAGTAGTTCTAGCAACCTCCTCTTGTGTTTCTGAGAACTCAGTAAGCATAGTCACTAATGGTGTCTCGGTGCCACCTTCGGAAAAAACATATTGTGTAGCATAACTTGGAGTAACATATGTTTCTGTGGTGACAAGAAAATCACCAGTTGAGGTGCTACTCTCTGCTGTAGGACTGGATGCATACATATTTGTAGTATAAACTGCAGTTGATTCAATACTAGTTCTTGTTTCTATGATGGATTCTTTTGTTTTCTCAGTTGGAAAATGAATGGAAGTTGACATAGACTGTTCTTCAAATACTGTGTACAATTCTGTGATAATTGTACTCTCTCTTTGATCTTCCCTGGAACCTGTATCTTGTGTAGGTGTGGTAGTTGGCACATACATAGTTGTTGGCACATTGGTAGATTCTGGAATACTAGTTGATATTACCTATAAAATATTTTTTTAAATTTACAAATTATAATATTCAATTGATATTAGGCCTATTCCAATTTATAATAAAATGATGTATGAAACGAGGCAATAACAACTACAAATGCTCCATTATAATGCGCGATAAAGGCATAGCCTTATCAAGAGTTACACAATAACACACACAAAAACAAAATTGAAATCATACTATGAATACAGTTATGAAGTTAAAAACACATGAAAACCAACTTGATGCAAGGGAAACTCGAACTAAGCTTTTATTATTAAAAATATCTGAAATGACGTCATATTTTAATATGCACATCTTTGAATGTATTCTTTGTCGGACAATATTTGAAACAGTAAGTGACAAAAGGCCCAGTCAGAAGAACTCATAGAAGAAAACATAGGAAAACAGAATAGAAGAAGAAAATAAGTAAGGACAAAAACTAAAGCTATTTCTGCTATTGCCAAATGCCAAAAAAAAAAACAAAAAAAGGAAAACTAACTCGATTAGTAAGACTCGAACTACAGTTGCAATGGTAATAACAAGAATAATATGGCGACTCATAACCATTGCGCGCTATGAGGTTACCCAGCGTAGGTCAGTGCATTTTAGTTTAAAAAAGTAATTCGGTGATTGGGGGAAAATTTTTCATGCATTTTACAGTTTAAACGCTTTAGAAAATGCAAACTGTGTTAATAGTTTGACAATTTTTTTTTTTTTTTTTCTTTAAATGGGCCTTACTTCCACACCCTACTTCGGATCCTTACCAATATTTAAACATTTCTTCATTGAAACAGGATAGACTAAAACCCTGTGCAAAAAAAAAATATGAAAAAAGTGTGGAAGGAAAAAAAACTTATTGTTTCTGTTCGTAAAACAGAACATAGGGCTTTTCCTTATTGGGCTTTTCCTTATTATAATGGCTTTTCTTGCAGCAGCTATGAAAAGCCAATAATAAACACAGTGTATGTAAAAAAGCCAAAAAAAAATTTCAAGGGACTTTAAATAGCAAATTAATGCTTGTTATTGTCTAAAGCAACTTTGAACGAGGTGTGCTCATGCACCCTTGGCACCCCCTGGCTATGCCAATATTACCGTTGGTGGCATCGTCATCATTATTATCACCATCAGATTTTTGTGTAATATAAAATACTTTCCTTAACACTTGATTTCAAACACGAGTACTTACCCATGAAGGCGAGTATGAAGAACATGTAAAATAATTTTTACATATATTTGCAGAATCTGTGTTATCTACAATTAATAGACGTTGAATTCCACCCTATTGAAAGTAACAATAAAAAGCATTTAAAAATGTTATTAATATTATTCCAAAATTCGAGACCAGTTTTTCAAAGTACAACCACATCTCTTCACTCTCACTGGTTAGAACGGCTCGAGATTCGTTCATGCAGTGAACTTCTTCAGGTGTCTGTACAAATGAAATTAAATCAATCTCTCATATACTTGAAAGATCCTTATTACCTGTAATGACCAACGATGTGTAGGTCTATTCTTATCGCCGATAACTTGTGATGAGAAGGTGTGATTGTGGTATACGTTAATGTTTAAACTTTAATTTGAAGGCTAACTGTGAACTAATGTGTTTAAACTTCATACTAAATACAGTGACTCGAACCGTGTTGTAAACTATTACCTTGCTTGTTGGCGTTCTGATGTTTAAGTATGTTTTAATAGTCCAGTAGGAGAAAGGGCTTTCACCACACAACGAGGGACACATTTATATCCAACTTTTCTAGACCGACTTTTTGTGTAGATTCCCGAAAATGGTGGGTCATCAGCCAGTTTCGTGGGCGTTTTCGAGATATAAGAGTCAAAGGTCAAGATTGACCAAAATAACAATTTATGTGAACAACCGTCAAAATATGTTTGATAATAATAATAAAATAATAATAATGACTAGAACTAGAGGGCACTCGGAGAGTGCATACCTCCACCAACATCATAATTCTCCTCAATATAAATCACCCATCCAATTAAATTCTTAAATATTCTTTAAATGGTCCTTATATCAACACCCTACTACGGATCGTCACCAAAATTTAATCATTTCTTCATTGGACTATGAAAAACTATTCTGGAAAGCTTCATTTAGATCCATTGGTTAAGTTTTTAGAGATACTAGATCTGGGACGTTAGCAGTTTAAATGATGCTGAAATTACACCTGAATGTAGATCGTCAAAAGATTTATATAATACATGGTTAAAGTTTCCAAAAAATTTCATTTAGATCAGTCGATCAGTTTTTGGGATGTCTGGTCTGGGACGTTTACCGTAAATACATGGCCCTCATGTCAACTCCCTACTCCGGATTGTCAACAACATTTTATCATAGTGAACCATGACACACCGTTCTGTAAAGTTTTTATTTTGATCTATTGGTCAGTTTTTGAGATATGGTCTGGGACGTTAACACTTCAAATGACCCCAAACTTCACACCTGAATCTTCTGTTATATTTGTGGGTGTTTTCACATTTATGGGTTTAACAGTACCCCTATTGAGGGAACACCCCTATTAAGGGGACACCTTTTTTGTTCCCGAAGGTGTCCCCTTAATGGGAGCTCTACTGTGTATTCAAATTAAATCTTCTAGTGATGTACTAGCTTCCAAATACAATTTTTGTGTAAAATGTGTAAAATCTGCCATTTTTTTTTTTTTTTTGTTCACTAAAAAATTCAGCATAGAAACAGCCCCTTCCGTGTAAGCCAAGAGCTGGTGTGATGAGGATTCACCTTGTTGCCAGCTTGTAACAAATGATTCATACGAAAAAGTTTTTTGAGCATTTTCAATCTGATGGCCACCCGTCTATGAAGGATGAAGACGTATCTTACCTGGAATGATTTTTCAAAAGGCATCAATGAACCTCCAATGACAACTATGCTTCTGGAATCTATTTTTAATGGGTATTGATCATCAATTTTTAAAGAGGACACCTCTCTGCAGTTGTAATATAAACGTATTCTACCGGAATCAATGCTTATGCTGATTTTATGCCAAACATTATCAGTCAACTCCTCAATGAAAAACCTACAAATTCAATATTTAATAAAAAAAAAACAGAATGGGTTTTTGAAAATTATTTGAGAATTAGCAATTATTTATTTCATTGGATATCACCCATGTAGGTTTGAGAAAAATGCTTCTAAAGACTCCAAAATCAATAGTTTATTATTAAGATTTGTATTTTTAAAGTAATTTTAATATATATTTTCAGTTAGATTTAGTGATTGATATTTTGCAAAAATATTCTTCAATATATTTTATATAAAATGCAAAAACATGAAAATGTTTTGGGTGCATGTGCGAAATTAAAAAATGCAACAAACGGTGGGTTTTTTTTTGCCAGAGCTTGTCACATTATGACACATGGATTCTCTCACCAAAGTCTTTCCAGACTGCAATATCAAAGGTCTTACCTGTGTGACTGTAGAGTACCTAGGCGAAGTTGAACATCAATGACATTCGATCCGACAAGAACTCGAAGTTGAAATATGTTGTGGGAATCAACCACTGTGAGCACGTTGGACACAAATACTTGCTGATACTTTATATGCATAACAATTGACAACCTTTGAGAAAAACTACAATAAAAAAATGATAAAAAATTATTTCTTGCTGCCACAAATCATCATCATCATCATTATCTATATATTAATTTTGGTAATTGTCTCCGCGAAACTTCACCCATCTACTCTAAAAACCGCTGGCAGGAATGTGCTCATCTTCCATAGGGTTTCTATCACAAGCACGACAGCCTACTTTTCTAGCCTGGATATTGGATGACAACTAAAAAAGCAGTCAAAAACCATACAAAAAGTATTTCTGCTGCCATGTTTCGCAAGTTGTTTACATCACATAAAATCTACATCTCTTCAGTTTTGTACAGTAGTGCTCGTGTCAACAAAATATTTGCCCATGCCGCCAAATAACAGACACGTCACCTCGGGCTATATTTGCCAGCTTCATTACGTCACATAGAAACTAAACTATCTCCTCAGTAATACAACTGTGCCTCCCGTGAACAATTATCGTTCCAGCTAGCTGCGAAATAAACAGTTTGATCAGGTCTGATCGCCTTTTCGTGCGGGGCGGTGCAGAGATGAGCAGCGTGTTACCTATTGCCGTATGCTGTGTCATTGCATTAAATACTGAATATACAAATCGATCAGGTAAAAAATAAAAATACGCCTGGGCACAATGCATGATGGATATAATTATAATAGGCTTAGAAATTTTGTCTAGGAGGGCTAGATGTGAAAAATAAATCGGACTGTGTAGATGTGAATGCTTCTATTATTTACCACTGAAGCCATTTCTCACAATTTTTTCTCCGGACCGGAATCCGGGCTTTATGTGAACGTTGCTTTAAACTGTCCTAATCTGCTGGCATCACATACATCACAAGGAAGTCCATTCCAAAGAGATATGGAAAATCCCATCCTTGTAAGTGATCGTTGCAGGTCCTCTCATTAGAGAATAAAATCGCTGCGATGACCTGAGAGTTCTCTTGCTTTGATCACTTATTTTTAGTTCTTTGATGTAGGACAGGGAGTTGTACAGTCAGTATTTATATGTCAGAAGTAACACCTTGAACTAACATCTTACGCACAGGTATCTAGTGCAGATTTCGCAGGACTGGGGTAATATGCTCCTGCCACCCAGTGACAATTCTCGCTGCAGTGTTCTGCAACTTCAGTTATCGTGGTAACTAGCTTAAATGACCTGATTTGTGATATATTAATCAAGCAATTGAATGAGTAATTAGCATATTCACACATGTACTAAAAACAACAGGCTCCGTCTTCTTATTACCATCTACCATTTCGCCAAGTTTGGAACCAACCGGACTTACTAAAATTTTTATTATTATTTATTATCATGGTAACAAACAAATTACATTTCTTAAATTAAGAACGACAGCGACAACGAGGAGGACGACGAAAACGACAACATAGAAAAGAACAATAGCCTCCCTGAAGTTTTGCTGGAGGCTAATAAATTAAATAGCCATTTTATTGTAAGTTATCTGTGTGCTTCTTGAAAAGTAGAGCCTATCGCTACAACTATAGCGCCACTACCATAAGAAATTACCATGTTGAAGTTGATTGATTTGGAGTTAAATATTCTATACAAAATTTGATATTGTTAAATTTTCTAATTATTGTAAAATTTAATAGCAATTTGATACTAAATTAATTAAATCAATTTCAACCTATTTATATACCTGGCTGCAGATAAACTGGACAATGAAACCTTGACCTCAGCTGCTGGTTGGAATTGATAATACAGGCATTCCTTCTTGTTGCTTAATACCTGCACATCATCAGTAAACTCCTCAACTTTAATTAGGCTTAAGAGGTCAATTATTCCTGTGAATATAAACAAAGTTGTAAATTTCATTTCGTATTTTCATATTTCATATTAGGCCTGCTTGTTAATAGGAATGATGATGCTTTAAAATGCTTAATAATTTTCAATAATTTATAATAAAGAAAAATATATTTATATAACGCTCTGTAGATTTAAAATTACTCTAGTCTCTTTACATTAACTGTGGAAACTTTTTCCAGCTGGACACCAACCCGGTATTTCTGAATCTAGGTTTTGGGGCCAGGAATATACAAGGATGTACATTCACTTACCTACAACATAGGTATTTATTCCACCACCACTGGCGAGGATCGATCCCGCCAGTGGTGGCGAAATAGTTGGTGGGGGCTGAGAGGGGTATAGCTATGAAAAGGGTAGATTTTGCATTTTGTTATTTTGCAGATTTGTTATTTATATTTGTTATTTCTTTTTTAACCAGAAATTATATAGCGCCTATCACATACTGTAAGCAGACTATACAAGGCAAACGTAAAGTGCCTAGCTCAGGGACACGAGCAATGTGACGAGTGTCGAGCTCCCGATTTTACGATCAAAAGTCCAACACTTACACGCTGCGCCACACCCCTTTAGGCGGCCCCCCCCGCCCTAAACTTAGTGGGTCAATTATAGCTATTTCTCCTATGAAAACATAAGCTTGATGTTAAAAAAAAACGAATAACAGTTCACAAAAATTTGTCCAACATTCGTATCTTTCTGGCTGCTTCGCTCATTTAGCCTCCGTCAGGACCTCCCGTCCCTCTGTCTGGCAGATCCTGGAGCCATCAAGTATTCTTTGTATAAATTAACACTTTCTCAAATAAAAGAAGCCGTTGTAATCAATCAAGATGCTGAAACAGAAGGTAAACCTTTACGTGCCATACTTAAACATAATATGTTATTTTAAACATAAGATATTATCTTAAGATATTTTAATAGAGAGTGAGGAACTGGAGACACTCAGGATGGTGGGAAAAGCATCATCTTTGATGCAAAGAAGAAAATAGTGGAGTTTGCAGGAGCAGCCCCAATGAATAGCAGTAAAACAACACCACTGCAGCCACTAAAATCTTTCGATTTATTCAAGATAGAGTTCAAGATTTTCTTTAAAAAGTTGTCAAAATGCTCAGGACAATATCACTCTTTTTGATCCTGTATAGCCCCAAGACTACAGTATTCTTAAAGTGTATTATCTTTTTATGCGTTTTTTTTTTTTCTTTTGAAAAAACTGGCTTTTAAAAAGAAATTTTTTAAATTTAGGCCACTGGCTGAGAATCAAAAACTCATTAGAGAGCTGCTTATTGAAGATTGGGAACATAAGTAAAGGCCAAGGAGCACAAAAGAACATCTTTCTTTACGTAAAGAATGAACACTACATACCTAAACCTGAAGTCAAATGATGTGTAAATGTTATGTTTACTTTACGGTATGCTTTTCATATTTTTTTCAATGTTTTAAACAGTTTCAATAGGTAAAACTATTTAAAAAGCAAACAAAAGTTTCTTTGAAATAAAAATTTGTTGTCCTATTATGTCTTTTGGAGACCACTTTAACTTCAGTCCTCATTTAGAGGTTTTAGGTTGGGCTCCCTCTAATTCTACTGCTTGGAAACCACTTCCAGCCCATGGTCTCTATTTAGAGGTTTCTAATTCAAGACCAAACACTGAGGTCACCCCAAATTTTAGGTACACAAAGTGGTCTCAAATTGAGGGCAGGCTACAGCATTCATTTTGAAAAGAAGCCCCCCCCCCGCCCTCTTTACTTTGCAAAATTAGCCTCGAAAAGAAGCCCATCCAAAGTTCACTCTAAATAAAGAAGCCTATAGGGCTTCTATATTCGAGGTTTTACGGCACAGACGGGCAAAGTGCGACCCACGGGTTGCATGCGGCCCGACAGCGATTTTTTTTTTTTTGCGGCCTGCAAACATGAATTAAAAACCCTATGTGTGTGGCCCACCAAGCAACATTGGCTAGAAAACACCTTGTTTTTTACGGCCTGACACCGATCATATGTAAAAAGTAATATTAAAACTGGGAATAAAGTGGTGTAAATGCAGTGCTTGGTTTTTGAAAGCGCACTGGAAAGATCAAATTTTTGGTGTGGCCCTCAGTGTAAAATCAGAAATTCTTTTTGGCCCGCCAACTGATTTTTAATGCCCACCCCAGTTTTATGGTATTAATCATAGTAAAAATATATCTATACCCCACTTGAAAATGGACAGTTCTAGTCGCCCACTACTCAGTGCATGCATTAACCTTATTTTCATCACTTGCATGCAAATACTTGAGATTCAGTTCCCCGTTTCTCACACGCAATAATTGAGATAGTGGTCTTGTTAGTAACTCTTTGGTTATAATTAATTCATTAAATAAAACAGATTTGTTTTTATCATCACAAGTTAAATTATAATAGTCAACAAAATACAGTATACAACTCACGGTTCGAAAATCTAGAGTAGAATACACCCATTTCCGTGTTTACAGTACATCGGCCCGATTCAAACGCTGGCAGCGCACTACCCTGGTAGTAGGCAAAAGATTCACCGAGTGTACTGTAGCATATGCATTTGAAATCAGTATACGGGTAATTTTTATTTTTGTTGTGCCAAAAAAAAGTCATTTTCTTCTTATCTCTCCGGAGCAGTGCGAGCACGTACCGTTTAACACGGTATCATCATCTCTTTCAATTCATAAAACTTTAATGCCAAATTTTTCCCAAATGACAATTTTAATTTTAGCTACAATTCTTGCTAAATTTTCTATAACATGAATATATGACAACCTGCAGTAAAAAAAAAAAACAGATTTTTATTTTAAAGGTAACATATATAGCCATTTTCAGTAGCGGATCTAGGAATTCGAAATACTGTAGAGGAGGCACAGGGAAGGACTTCACAGATAGGGGGTAAATAACACCTCAGCCCACCATGGTTGGGACTGAGGTATGATTTATGATCATGACACCTCTAGATTTGCCGGAAATGGCACTCTCAGGAATTTGAATATAATTGGACTGAGGTATGCAAATATATGATCATAACACCTCTAGATTTGCCGGAAATGGCACTCTCAGGAATTTTAATATTATTATTATTTTTTTTTTTTTTTTTTTTTTATTTTTAAAAATTTTGTTTTTTTTTTTTTTTATAATTTTGACAAATTTAGAGGAGCCAGGGCCACCTTGGCCTCCTTGAATCTGCCACATTTTAATTCCTTGACATAGAAACCTTCACATAATCCAAGTACCAATATGAATTAGGATATATATCATTCTGATTCAGGTTTCAAGTAGATGTGGCTCACCAGCAAACCGACTAAGAGGAAACAGAAGATTAACTCTTGAAATATACTTCAAATCTTTTGGGAAATAACTACTACTACAGGAATGATAAACTAGATCATCAATCAACTCAAATCTTTGACTACAATTCAAAACATTATTATATTCCCTAGAATAACATTTTATTACTAGAAATTGCAAATTACAAGTGAAGTGCTGTGAAGTACAACTGCATAAAATGTTCTTCGAACAAAATTATTTATGCGAGTCAAGTGAAAATAATGAATAATAAAAATATAACAAATAATATGAGCACGACCCATTGTCTATATTAGAACAGCATTGGTACCGTGTACAATAGTGTTTTGCTGCAGTGACATCTCTCTGCTGACGACTTGCTGCTGCTGGCGATGACTCGCTGCTGGCGAATCGATCTGCGTATGTGTATAAAATGGCATTTATTTCCGAAAACACTATGCCAGTCTACAACAAGCGTCGCCTAAATGTAATAATAACACGTTCAAAATAGGCTAGTAAATAAGTTTAACTGGGTTTGTAAATAATATTCGCCTCAAAATATTGTGGCTGAGACATGAGCCGATTAAACGTAGAAATAGGAAACCTAGAAATATAGTAAAAACGCTAGTACTCCAGCGTCGCGACATGCCGACGTTGGTATGAGTAGGTTAGTCTACAAACGTCGCCTAAAGTAATTGATTTTACCCGGCAGAACGGAAGAAGGAAACTCCGCTTTTCAGTTGTCTTTGGCGATTGTTTTTTGACAAACAATGACCTTTCAGAGGTCAAATTGCTGTCAAGAATATGAATTGGCTGCTTCGCAGCAACTATCACAAGGAAAATAACAGGCTACATAACTTAATGCCCCTAAATTCAGCAAGATACATGTTTTGGTAACTTTCTCATGATAACAAAATCATAAAACATAAAATTATGGGGGTTTTTTTGCTGCACCTAGATGCACTTACAATTTTTTTCAGTATTTAACATTATTGTGATACAGATATGCTGTACTATTGTACATACCCTACTCTTACTTGTTCCGCAATTGTATGGGCAAGTAAAACTGATTAAAACTGACCAATACTTTTCTAAACATAAAATACGTAAGCTAAAAGACATAAATCAAATCCAAATTGGCTACTTTATGTATAAATCCCAATCAATAATATTATTCCACGTTTTAATTCATTTTTTAAAAAACATTGTGACAACCATAATTATGAAACAAGATTGAACTGCACTATTTTACCCAAACAAAGAAATCTTAATTTTAACAGTTTTACAATTTCATGTACATGACCAAAGCCTTTGCAGTGACTTAAAAGAAACAAACACTCCACCAAATTCTGAAACGAAATTTATGGAACATATTTTATAGTATACTATATATAATAATTTTATACAAGACCATCGTTTTATCCCACAATTTTAATGTTGTAATTTTATTGGTAGTTACAGTAAGTGTCCTGTAGTTTAAGTATAGTTTAAGATTTTAATTGATTTTGATTTTATATTTTTGAATTTGAATACTGTACATACTTTAGTCCAAGTTAACATCACTCTGTTGAACTCTTTATATTATAATACCATAAGCTTAAAATTAGGCATCAATTATAAATTTGGGTGAAATTTTTGATAACAATATTACTAATTTAAACTGACCAGTAACAGGTTTAAGAATTGCTCAAACTTGTATAAATGA